CCCCCCCACCTGAGCCTGACCCACCTGAGCCTGACCCCCCACCTGAGCCTGACCCCCCCACCCTGGGGCCCTGGCAGCCTCTGTGCCCCTGGGGGGCACAGCCTCCATTCAGTATCCAGGCTTGGGCATTACTCTGGGTTCTGAGGAGGGTGGACAGGGGGGAGGGCTCCACATTGCAGTCATGGGAGGCAGGGATGAGGGGAGGGATGAGGAGGGATGAGGGGAGGGATGAGGAGAGATGAGGAGGGGTGAGGAGGGGTGAGGAGGAGGGGTGAGGGGAGGGATGAGGAGGGGTGAGGAGGGATGAGGAGGGGTGAGGAGGAGGGATGAGGGGAGGGATGAGGAGAGATGAGGAGGGGTGAGGAGGGGTGAGGAGGGGGGGTGGGCAGGCACAGCACGGCAGCGCACCCCATGCACATGGGCACAGGGTAAGTCACTGAGTTCATGTGAAGACAGCGCTGGGAAGTGGGCGGCCGCGGTGGGGGGAGGGGAGGGCGGCCAGTGGTGGGGGGAGGGGAGGGCGGCCCGCGGTGGGGGGAGGGGAGGGCTTGCGCTTGGCTGTGTAGGGATGCCCCCTGTGGGCCCTCTCACGGTGAGGCTGAGCCCGGGGGTGGTGGACTTGAGTGAGCACCCTGCCTCAGTTTCCTCACCTGGAAAGTAGTGTCGTGGGGGGGGGCTCCCAGCAGGCCGAGGGGAACAAATGAAGCGGGGCTGCCTGGCTGGGGTCGGTGACCACGGGAATGTGTGGGTGGGGTCAGGCTGCGCTCACCCTGACCTCTACGGGCAGGGACTGAGAGGCAGAGGAGCCCAGGCCCGGTGCCCGCCAGGGTGCAGCTCACCCCCAACACACACACACTACAAATCACAGAGAGCACGGACACCTAGCTAGATTTGGTGGCTTGGGTCTGAAATCCAGCGCTTGGGAGGCGGAGGATCCTGAACCCCGGGCAGCTTGGACAGCACAGCAAACCCTCGGGGCAGGGCGGGTGGACAGGCACAGAACGTCCCAGCCAACGGCTAGAGAACCGGCCGTTCTCAGCCGTACACCGACAGGCGCCAGGGGTTCTGTGGTGACTGAATTACAGAATGTGATCTGGCCCCCACAGATGTAAGACTCCCAGGAACAACACACCTAGGAAAACCCACGTACGCAAACCTCACCACCGCCTAATTCCATGGAACAAAGCAGCAATGGCAGAGGAAATTTGATATGTCTAAGCTAACCACAGAGAAAACCCTTCTCACGGTGGTGGTGTTGTTCCGACTGTCTACAAGGAAGGAATTTCCCTGTGTAACATACACGCCAGTAAATTCGGCCTGGCGGCACGTTGGTGGTGGCCGAGAATTGCAAGGCTGTGGGTTCTACACTACGAATGAGCAAATCCTGACTTGTAAAAAGTTTGTTGGAGCCGGGCACTGGTGGCTCACGCCTCTCATCCTCGCTACTCAGGAGGCTGAGATCTGAGGATCACGGTTCAAAGCCAGCCCGGGCAGCAAACTCCGTGAGACTCTTCTCTCCAAGAAACCACCAGAAAACTGGAAGTGACGCTGTGGCTCAAGTGGTAGAGCGCTCGCCTTGAGCTGACGAGCTGAGGGACAGCGCCCAGACCCAGAGTTCAGGCCCCACAACTGAACAGAAAAAAAAAAAAAAAAAACGTTGTTGGAAGCAAATAGGGTACAGTGGTGCACACTCCTGTAGTCCCAGGCAGGGGGGTGGCTTAAGCCCGGCACGGAGGGAACAGGCCGAATGCCAAGGCCGATCACGTACACAGTGTGAGCTTATTCACCCCTATTTTGGGTTGCCAGCTTCACCCTGAGCCATTCACAAGCCAGGCCCGGCCACAGATGTCTATTCCCACCGGCCCGGCTGTGACAGCCACGCTGCCGGATGCCAGTGCCGGCCACCCTGGTCTCCAGTGTGCGATCACACGGTGCCAGCTGCAGAATGTATCGCATCCGCTCTGGGATGTTTTCCCTGTCCTGGCTGTCCGTTCCTGCCCCAGCCCTCTTCTGCCTTCCGACTCCTGACACTATCTACCTCCACAGCTGCGGGAGCAGTCCCGAGAGAGACAGCCTGCCAGCCTCTAGCTGACATTGAACGCTTCTTTCTCCTACGTGGCTGTGTCCCAGTGGTGTTCTGGGTGGGCGTTTACACAAGGCCTTTACTTCAGGCTGCGGTCCTGGGGTGCGTGCACAGCGAGCTGTGGGAGGTGTCCGGAGCTGGCACACGGCTCCGGTCCTCAGCCGCCACCCCCAGGTGATCTTCCTTGTTGGTTTCCGGGCACCACTGGCTTCCTGTGACCCCCACCCCACCCCCGTGGGCTGCCAATCTCAGCCCCAGGCTACCGCTGGCCTTTTCACTGTGTGAGGAAACACACACACACACACACCCTTCATTCTTTGACTTTTCGCATGAGCAGATCTGTTGCTCGCAGGCTACCTGCGGACCTGCTGAGAACTTGGATAAACACTGATTCTGCTTCCGCTAATCGGATGAGGCTGGGCCTCGGGCAGCGGGGCGCAGAGCTGCCGATGGCGGCTTCTGCTCTGGTCTCTGCACGCCACCCCCTCCCAGCAAGGAGGCGCGGAGGCCTGTGGGGCTGGGGTGGGCCTCGGAGGGGCCTCTCTCCCTCGGCGGTGACCACCGCGTCCCCAGGGCACTTCAGGGGCACTGCTGGCCCAGCGGGTACACAGCCCCACCTCTCCCATCCTCTGGGGTCCCAGGGTGGGGACCACGGGCAGGAGGACAGGGCGGGACTCACAGGAAGAGCTGGACAGAGCAGCCGGAGCCCAGGGCAGGAGTCAGCCAGACTCCCTCCCTGTCTCCCCGACCATTGAACCACCCTGGGTCCCAACAGAGAGAATCCTGGGAGCTGGGGAGTGGTTGGGAGCCTAGAAGCCAGGAGAGGCTGTGGGCATCACCACAAGAACGGCGGACGGAGGGGGAAGCCCCGGGCTCTCATGCTCCCCCACGTGGCCTGCCCCCCTCCCCAGGGCCGCTCGCACCCTCGGGAGCTGCCAGGGGCAGGCCACGCCGCCCAGGCCCCTGCCCGCCTCCCAGCTCCCCACACCCAGCGGTCTGTCCTGCGCCCAGCCCGCCGCCAGCACTGCCCGGTGCTCTGACTTGTGTGGCCCTGGTGTCAGCGAGGACTCAGGGTGTGGGGCAGGGCAGTCCCAGGAGGAGCAGGAAGAGCTGTCCCGGACCCCCCACGCCCTTCCACCGCGTCCCAGGGACAGCGTCAGGCCCCCCAGGGCCTCCCAGAAGCGCCCATCCCCTGCAGGACTGTGGGGCCACGCACATCCCAGGCGGGCACACCCTTGTCCCTACATGGTGCCCAGCCTTGGGGACAGACCGGGGTCCGCAGCCAGCACGCTGCGGCCACCCAGCCAGCAGCCCTGTGTGGCGCGCGGCCGGCTCATTAGCGGCTCACGGCGGCCCGTGCCAGGCCCCCCGGGGCTGTTACCAGGCTTCCGCCTGTTGACAAGATGTGGCGGCCCCAGAGGGAAGACATCGCGCTGATTATGCCACTAATGATGCGTTCATTGCTGGCAGTAATTCCTTCAACGGGTAAAACCTGTCCACGGGCCACCTTCTGCGGGCCGAGTCCCAGCTCTCATGGGGGCTGGGTGGGGCATGCGGACACGCATGAGCACACTCACGCACAGGCCGGCGGCCACGTCATTGTGCAAACACACACAAGCCAGCGGCCATGACGCCACGTGTGCACACTCATAAACACACCGATGGAACAGCTAGGCATGACGCTGCATGCCCGTAATCCCTGCATGAAAGCCACACATGCTGTACCAGCCTGGGCCACATAGCAAAACACCGCTTCAACAATAAGAATGAAGCCGGGCGCTGGTGGCTCATGCCTGCAACCCTAACTACTCAGGAGGCTGAGATCTGAGGATCGCAGTTCAAAGCCAGCCTGGACGGGAAAGTCCGTGAGACTCTTATCTCCAACAAACCACCAGAAAACGGGAAGTGGTGCTGTGGCTCAAGCGGTAGAGCGCTCGCCTTGAGCTGAAGAGCTGAGGGACATGCCCAGGCCCAGAGTTCAAGCCCCACGACCAACAAAAAAAAAAAAAAAAATGATAAGGTCACAAAATGGAGCACACGCACAAAACACATGGAGAGATGAGCAGGCAAAGACAGCTTCGCCTTCAGCCGGGCATGCATGCGGCCGTCCCCACAATGCAGACACACACCACAGGCGCCGGCCGGTCCCACGCTGCATCCTCACAGCGGCCCCTTCCACTGCCGCTGCCCCACAGGCCCACCGCAGCCGTGACGCTCTGGATGCCGACCTCACGCAGGGCCGCCGCCTGGCAGAATCCCTGCCTGTGGTGCCCGGGCGGGCACAGTGGCTTGGCCCCGACCCACCTGGTCCCCACCGCCGCTGCGGGCCCACAAAGCCCACCTCCTGCATCTGCCCTCCAGGCCCACGGGCACCTGGAACGGGGGGCAGCGTGGCCGGGCTGGGTGTCCGAGGTGTGTGTCCTGCAGAGCCCCAGGGTACCTTCCCCAGGAAGAGGCTCTCCCACCAGTGGTCCTCACAGGGTCCTGGGCTGGGGTGGCTCTATGGCCAACAGCAGGTGTTGTGCTGAGAAGGGCTGGAGCTAGACTGCCCACGCTCAGGACAGGGAGAAACCACCCGCAGGGGAGAGGGGGGGGACACAGCCCGCCCCCCCCCACAGGGGCGCGGCTATGCACATTCAAACCTCAGAGTTCTGGTCTCCAGAACTGTGGGAACAGATCTCTGTGGTTCCACAAACCCGCACCTGAGCCTGTGGCACAGAGGCCTCGGGACGGTGCCCGCAAAGCTGTGGCCAGCCTGGGGAAGGGGCAGTGGCGGGCACCAGGGCCCTGGGTCTGCCACCCAATGGCCCGTGGGTGCTGATGGGCACCTCCAGGAGTCCCAGCAGCGCACAAGGAAGTGAGGCACACGGGGAGGCCCAGAGCAGCCCGGGGTCCGTGCGCACAGCCCAGCATCCCCAGCTGGCATGGGGCTGCCCTCCCCTCACCCATGTGTGCTCTTCCCAGGGTCTGGCTAGGGACACGCGCTCGGAAGCGCGCAGTAAATACACACTAATGGTGATGATGAAACAATTTGCAAATAGAAGCCAGGGGACCCGGAGGTGCAGGGTTGGCACAGGAGCAGAATCTGCGGGGAAATGAGTTAAAGAACCAACCCCAAGGGGTTGAGAAGCTCGGCCCAGAACAGCGGAGAACTTGCTCGGGATGGGGGGGGTCAAAAACCCCTGGTCCTGTTTTCTGAACTGGTTCTGGGGCTGAGGTGCCCCTCAGTGGCAGAGTCACTGCCCACAACGAAGAAGGCCCGGGGTTCAACTCAGCAACTCAGCAACACAGCACGTGCACACACACACACACACACACACACACACACACAGCGTGCACACACCACATACACACACGCATTCGCTCACAAGAGTCCTCCTCTGGGAATGGAAGGTCGGCACGGGCATCTGGTGCTCACTCAGGACACAGAGGCTGAGCTGCAGGTTTCTGGTTCTACTCTGTCCTCGGTGGTTTTATGGAGATACAAACACTGTACCTCCTGTCCGTCAATGCGCACAACTGTATGGGTTTGTTTTTGGCATACAGCTTCTCCCTCACTTTTTGGTACCAGTATGAAGGCTTGAACTCAAAGCTCCTCATCCACAGCAGGCACCCTACCACCTGAGCCAAGCCCCACACCTGGCTTTTTGTTGGTTGATTGGGGATGAGAGTCTTGGGGACTTTCTGCCCAGGCTGGCTTCAGTCCTCAGATGAGCCGGGATGAGCTGGATGAGCCTTCCCAGTTACTCCTCCTACCCACCCCCGCCATGCAGCTGGGTTTACGCAGGTGACCCCCATACCCAGCTTGCTCTCTGAGCTGCAGACACCCTGACTTTTGGCTCAGGCTGACTTGGAACTGAGATCTTTCGGGGGCTGGGATGATAAATGTGAGCCACTCCCTTCACTTGTGTCCTTTTACTAACAACGAGAATGTTCAGATGGTGGGCACAGTATCTCAGACTCTGCTTGGGTACCACCAAGGCAGGCCTGGGCAGGGCCGATGCCCACTGGCCTGGGGGCTGCCAGAGCTCCAGCTGGGAAGTA